ATTTTTCAATTTTCTCTGAATTTTGTTTAAAGTAAATGTTTATATTGGTGCTTTGACGTGCTTAGCTGCACCCCCTCTCATACTTTCTGTAGAAAGCCATTAAGCTCCCATTCACCTGAACCTCCTTCCCTTATAGATACCCCTCTCCCCCTTAAAGGTAGCATATTAGAGCGGTGCACCGATACTGAGAGCCAACAGGGGAGAAGAAACTGTTTAAGGTCTGCAGGCTCAAAACAAATCTCAGTACTGTAGTATAATTAGACAGTTGATTGTATAGCCATATGTTGAACAGTGACTTCATGTTTCCCTGGCAGCTCAAGCTGTCAACACATCCCTTTGACACACAGCAGGAGTATGAGTGTGTCATAATGTGTACAGGTTCTGTAAAAAAATAGACATGTTAGGAATTGACAGTGTAAGAAAGAAGTGTATTTAAAAAAAGCCCACAGTTTGATGGTTTATTAAATGCATGAATGTTTATTAGGTATTTGAAGATGAATGAGGTGAAAGATGTGTTTCATGCTCCTAACTCCTCCAGAGTGAAACAGGACAGCATTAATACACTTTGGTTGTGCACAGGAGTCTTATATTTAAATGATTGTTTTAACATGACAGTTATGTCAGCAGTGTATGTCTTCCTGCAGCAGTCAAGTTGTAAAATACTGAACCACCTTATTATCAAACCATGGACTTCTGCACCTGAGAAACAAGAGGACAGAAGGAGGCAGCAGCATGGCCTCCGGCTTTATATTGGACAGATATAGCTGAGCGATACTGTACTAACTAAAGTTACACAGATTTGAATTGCCAGAGAGAATCAGAATCAGAATACCTTTATTAGTCCCACAGAGGGGAAATGTACGTAGTTACAGCTGAAAAAAAGAGCCACAGAAAGCTTAATGTTACATAATGTTACATGCATTAAAAAGTACTAAGTTATGATATAATACAAAATAAAAAGTTACATAATTTTCAAAATACACATCCTGTAACAGTTCTCAGGAATTAGCAGCCAGATTTAGCACAGTTTTACCGGCATATATATATATATATATTGCATATATAGCACATATTGCACATAGTTGGTTGGTATTTAACAGCAAAGGGTGTTATAGTCTGTCTTGTGGTGTGTGTGTGTGTGTGTGTGTGTGTGTGTGTGTGTGTGTGTGTGTGTGTGTGTGTGTGTGTGTGTGTGTGTGTGTGTGTGTGTGTTGTGTGGTGTTGTGTGTGTGTTGTTGTGTGTGTTGTGTGTGTGTGTGTGTGTGTGCTGTGGTGGTGTTGTGCGTGCGTGCGTGCGTCGTGCGTGCGTGCCGTGCGTGCGTGTGTGGGGGGGCGCGGGGGGGGCGGGGGGGGGGAGGCGGTGAAAGCCATGTCATATCTCCTCCGGGCAGATCAGTTGGCTGCTGTCACTGAGGTGAGTTTCGACACCCCTCTCAATCATACCGTTTTAGTTTCATGGTTTACTTTCAAATACAGTGTGGTCCATTGAAACTGTTGTAATGTGTTTGATTGGACAGTTAAGTAAAGTTGAATGGTCAGTTCACCCAAATGAAGGAAGTTTTCTTTTTGATCTCTTACCCTTTAGAGGTATCTAGGCATGCTGTTGTTGTAGTTATATGTGTCTCAGATTTCAACTGTTTGTTTTACTCTCAAAATGTGAACTATACTCTTTTATAGACATTGTTTTAATAATTAATTAATCATTTGAGCCATTTTTTAAATAACATTTTACAAAAAGAAATACTTGTGACTCATTTTACTGATCTTTTTTGTCAGTGTAGACTTACTATCCTTATTTTGGACTATTGATTTGACAAGACCCTATTTTCACTATGTTCTGAAATATTATAGGCTAATCATGAAGGTCATTCGCACATATCAAAACATAATCAATACAAACATTTAAATGAACAGCAGCCCTAAAAATATTCAGTGTTTAGAGCCACACATACTAAATGTCTTTCAGCCCTGTTTTATGGGGATGGTGGAATACACCTCAGACACATGTCCAAAGTAAATAAGTATATTATATTATCAAACGTGTTGTGTCATTTGGGTGAACTGACTGACAGACTCTTATGCTGAATTGAAAAGAGACTGTAGGCCTCATCGTCAAAAGAAGCTCAGAATACTAAACTAGGAAACATGTCTGATTCAGATCAGATAAACCTATTAGATAGAAGTTTTTCAAGCACTTGCTCTAAAGTTGCCTGGTTAGAAAGTGATGGCTTTATGGTAAGAGCCAATCAATATGGATGTACTGAGAATAGTACATCTGAAAGTGTCTTAAAAAAATTACGGGTTTTGGCAATGAGAGCTTTAACTTTTAATTTAACTTCTCATGCAAACTCTATATTCCAGCACAGCTCACATTAAGCATCTTTGTTCATTCATGTATATAAATAGCTCCACTCTAATCCTGCTGGCGCTTCATATACGGGAGACTAGTTCAGGTCTTTGACCTCCAATCCACACATTTCATGCTCCCACTTCCCCTTCGAGCAGCGAGCAAAACCTCTGCTTACTTTCAAACCTAATCTTAAGCCAACAGCCAATACACACAAGTACTATGTGTGTGTGTTGCGTTGTGACAGCTCTGCTATGCGGCGGGACTTGGAGTGATGGCCTTGTCCTGACTGGCTTTGATGGACACTCTCATCAGGCTTGGATGAGAAGTAAATGGAATAGGTTACAGCTGAATGCAAAGGGAGAGAGTGGGCTTCTCTTAGGACCATAATATTCTGACCAAGCATCCTGCACAACCTCTCAAGCCCTAAACATCCGATACTGTGGAGTGCAGTAGACGGTTTATATGATGGCAGGAAACTGCATGTGGACCCTCCTCATCTATAGGTGGGTTTCGCCTGTCAGTGCCATTGGTTCGGCTTTATTCAAGTCAGTGTGCAGTGGAGCAGCTTGTGTGTCCCTTCACACATTTCTTGAATGTAAACCGACCATTAATTCAGGGGAAGAAGATTTCCCGAGATATGTTCCTCAATTTTACATCTAATGTGTTTATCACTGAGGATGCTGGAAATTATTGCAAATTGGATTTGGGAGAGTTATGAAACTGATTTATTTATTAGACACACTTTCAGTAAATCTAGTGTACATTTTCCTCCATTTTTAATTCACTTACAGTATATTTCCCACAAGCCAAGTGCATGCTGCTTGTGAAATACTAATAGATTATGAATAAAAATGCTAATCACCATTTGAGAATCACTCTAATAAACAGGTTCTTTGCTAAAAACAACGACTCTGCCCGCTAAGGACAAGAGCATAACGACCTTCACAGCACAGCAAGAGCGGCTGATAATTTAAACATCCTGTTTAGAGTTGCAGATTAAGCCAAACACAAGAAAGCACCAAAAAAATGCACACTTCAGTCCAGTGAAAAAAAAGCGGAAGCCTGTAGGTAAACAGATGAATAAGCGGATTTAGGCTGCAAGAAGGCCGTGAACGATTGCTCTCGCAGGGAAACAAACTATTTTTGTCACACGCAGCGCAGAGCTGCCCCATATCTTCTCATAGTCCTGAGTCGACAGAGAGCGATGGACTGTCCCTTCCTCTCTTATCGGAGCTGCTGCAGCCCCACGAGGTCTGGCTGCACGCCTGCAGAGACAGCCTCTCTCCTTCTCCAAAGACACACACACACACACACACACACACACACACACACACACACACACACACACACACACACACACACACACACACACACACACACACACACACACACACACACACACAGACAGACAGACAGACAGACAGACAGACAGACAGACAGACAGACAGACAGACAGACAGACAGACAGACAGACAGACAGACAGACAGACAGACACACACACATACATTGTTGCATGCACACTTGCTGTTGAATTGTACATAACTGCACATGGAGTCTTGTAGGGATTTGCATAAAATTAGGGGCTCACTTTTGTATTCATTTTTTTTTTTTCAGGCGAGCATCCTTAATGTTGGGATGGCAATATTTGGTCAAACGGAAATAACTCAGTAACTATTGGAAGGATTGCGATGAAATCTTTCGCAGACGAGCAGGTTAACATTTGTGGTTCAAAGTGAAATCACTCAGCTACAGCAGTTGGATAATTAATACATTTTATTTAAGATTCCTTATTTTCCTCATTGATTTAGTTGTCAACTTTCAGTTAATTAATTAATTGGTTTTGTCTATACAATTTAAGAATGCAGTGAAACAGAAATTCCCAGAATTTGAAATGAAAATTGTTTTTTAAAACCCAACTTTATTGCTTTCCAAGTCACAAGGAGAATCAAATCTGCCTATTAGAGCAGTTGATCAATGAATTGTATCCTTGTTAATTGAAGAAGTTAATTTTTTAATGAGCAACTATCTTTTTATTAATCATGTAATCTTTCCTGCGCTATCCAAGTTGCTACTTTTCTTTGCTCTGCTCTTCCGTCTTGTATTTTTTGGGGTATCATATAGGTTTTTGCTGTTGAATTACAAATCTATCATCAGGGTCTATACAGTTTTACATTTTCCTCGAGTGCTGGGAGGAATGTCATAATGCATGGAAAGCTTTGACGAGCACGGAGTGTATCGCTGATATTTGATGTAGTCTTATCAGACTACTTCCTCTCACTCACACACAATATTCACATGTTTCCGTCTGTCACTCAGCATTTATTTGAATTTCTTAAACCCCTATGGCCACAGCTGAAGTGGGAGCATTGAGTCTCGAGGGGGTTTGATGTGTTGATTTGAGCGGTTATTTATGTGCTGCTGCGTAATGACACCTTCTCTCTTTAATTCCAGATGTTTAAGACTACGTTATAATTTCCTACTTCTTGTACATTTGGCTTATTTTGGTCCTTCATGTGTCCTTTTCCTTATGTCTCCACTACTCATCTCTCTGCCTTCTGATTTATATTTGCAATCAAGCCATCTCAGGTAACTCATTCCTCGTCTACGTTCTCTAAATACCCAAACTCTCTCTGCTTCCTTTTCCCTCAGTGTTGTTGCGTGAGGAGGTGGTCCAGCTTCAAGAGGAGGTCCACCTGCTAAGGCAGATGAAGGACATGTTGAGTAAGGACCTGGAGGAGACCCAGGGAGGCTGCTCCGCCAACCTGATCTCAGCCACCGAGCTGCGCGTGCAGCTGGGGGACAGGGAGCAGGAGCTGGACCGCGCCAAGGAGGCCCTACAAGGTCAGGGGCCCACACAAGCATCTATCTCACCTACTCCATCCCTTAGTGTGCCTTCTTTCAAACAGCTACTAGAAAAACACAGCATATACAGCCAGGGCCGGCCCGTAGCACTGGCGTTATAGATGTTCGCCTAGGGCGCCAGATCTGGGGAGGCGTTGCGCTGGTAGAAAAACATTTTTGACCGATGGTGCTCATCCTAATTTTTGGCCTTGATGTAACAATATTCATAATTAAGTAAATGTAACACCCTTTTCAGCCCGGTTACACTTTTCATTTGCCCTGTAAGATGGGCGATGTAAGTGATGAAAATGGGGAATGTTGACTTATCAGGCGCCCGCAGCTCACAGCCAAAGTGTGAGCGAGCGTGGGAGCGAGCGAGGGAGAGAGAGAAGGACGCACCGGAACCGGCGCTGTTGTTATTAGAATATGGTGCTAGCTGCTCTAACGGATATAAGAAGAAGATGTTTCTACAATAATGTGGAGGGAGAGTCCTCTCCAGTCAGACTGAGAGGCTGATAACTACAGCTCAGTGAGGTAAAGGACTCTGAGTGTTTAGATAGTTCACTTTAGTCTAAGTTATCTCAGTGGGTCTCAAACGGTTTGGTCACAATTTATGTAAACAAATATTTCCAAGGTACTCCTTTATAATTATTGGGATAAACAGGTTAGAAATCATTTCAATGTATACTAGAGGACAGTAAACCAGACATATAGTTTTAAACTGGAGAGATAAAAAAATATGCACGAATAAATAAATGTCAATAGGTCAAATAAGATATAAAAGAACAACAAAAATA